ATACACTGCAGCTATTCGAATTTGGAACAGCATTCTATGTTACTTTTGAATGTACAGCATTAGCAGAAGGCTATATGAAATATTAACCCTTTCACACATAACCACTTTGTGCTTTTGTGTACAGATACTAAAACTACCCATAATCCTTCACTCCACTCAGCAAGTAGGTGGCCACTTTTTCCATCCTGGTACTACTGCGCCAAGCTACAGTAGGGAGATGGGGTGCCCACTGCACCCCTCACCTGCCACCTGAGGCAGACAAACACAGACCAGTGAGACCACCCTTGTAGGATATAGGATGGGAGGCATATAGATCTCTCTGTATCATTGTTTGCAACATATTGTTCTATAATGTATGCCCTTGTGGGTCTCTCAATGCCAATATTTATTTTTTATTTTGTTGGTATTTTTATTTGCAAGCTAAAATGACAGAGCAGAGGGGCCTAGACACCCAGAACCTAATGTTTAATATCGGGATTCCTTTAAGAATGTCTCTGCTTTTTGCAAATAAAAAGAATTAATAAACATACTTCCTCTGAATGCCAGTCAGCCTCCTGGCACAGCATGTTACCCAGCCCATATGGTGTAATTATTACAGCCCTCGTTGCCATTATGTTGCTGTTATGTGCGTTTGTGTCAGTCTGTTCTCTTGACTGCTGGGAACACAGCCGGAAACCATGCAATGCCTTTCGTTTTAGGCATCGTGTCCCCATGTGTCTTGATTTTTACTGTTCCCAATTATATAAAGCTTAGACTTTCTTAAAAAATGCAAATATTCTCTTTATCTGCTTTTCTTAAACCATTTAATTTAGCTACATCTTCCCAAAGGGTTTTTCAATTAACTCATCATATAAGGCAAACTAGTGAAATTGAATGCTGAATTACATAGGATTATTCAATATATATTTCTTACTATTTTTTTAAATTTTATTAGTTTAATGTTATTGTAAATTTGCATACTCCATATCGTATATCTGCTAACTTTTCGAATGGACGAAGATGAACACTTAAATTTTAGGGCTGGAATTGGGGGTCGGGGCTGTCAAAATGTCATTTAAAATAATCAATGTATCTTATTTACACAGACTGATTTCTAAACACATTTATTAACTTCTCATCCCCATTTCATCCTCTGATATTTCCCACCTACTAAGCTCCCATCTCCAAAACACCAATCGCATGTGTATGAATGTTAGGGATGTTGATACATAGTACAGTAGTAAATGTATAGACAATGAGCTTGTTAATTGGTTATTAATTGTCGCAGTATGGGAGTTACCTCTGAATATCTTGCTTACGTATTATCTGCATCATGATTGATATAAAAATGCTGTAAACCCCTGGCTGTGCACTCAGCCCCTTTAGACACGAGTCTGCTGAGATGTAGCTGGCTACTGAATAAACAGTTGATTGCTTTCTGAGAAACCTGTGTCCAGTCTCTTACGTGTTTCCTGGCCTCAGATTCCTGCAACATTCCATGCTGTTAGAATGTGACAGCCGATAAGAACCATTTGGCCAATCTAGTCTGCCCAATTTTCGAAATACTTTCATTAGTCCCTGGCCTTATCTTATAGTTAGGATAGCCTTATGCCTATCCCATGCATGCTTAAACTCCTTTACTGTGTTAACCTCTACCACTTCAGCTGGAAGGCTATTCCATGCATCCACTACCCTCTCAGTAAAGTAATACTTCCTGATATTTTTAAACCTTTGCCCCTCTAATTTAGGACTATGTCCTCTTGTTGTGGTAGTTCTCCTTCTTTTAAATATAGTCTCCTCCTTTACTGTGTTGATTCCCTTTATGTATTTAAATGTTTCTATGATATCCCCCTGTCTCGTCTTTCCTCCAAGCTATACATGTTAAGATCCTTTAACCTTTCCTGGTAAGTTTGTGACCAGCCGCAAGACAGGAAAGATATTTCCTGTCTGGTTCTTGTCTTCCCTCTCACGGCAATCTTGTGCTCCTGCAGGCCAGCCATTCCCCCTTCCCTACTGCTCGCAGTGCCAGAGAAGCGTCTGGACTGCTTGAGCAGAGAAGAGCAGGACTGGAACTGGAGGGGGGCAGTGTATGAGTTTGAGGGAGGGGGTAGTTGATTAAATTGGGGGAGGGAGTGTGCAGTGTATTAATTTTAGGGAGGGGGTCAGTGTATTAATTTGGGGGAGGGAAGGGGCCAGTGTATTAAATTAGGGAGGGTGGGGCGGTGTATTAATTTGTGGGAGGGAGCCGGGCAGAGTATTAAATTGGGAGAGGGAGGGGACAGTTTATTAAATTGGAGGAGGTAGTGAGGTAGTGTATTAGAGTGGTGGGAGGGGAAGGCAGTGTGTTAAATTGGGGGAGGGCAATGTATTAATTTGGGGCTGGAGGGGGACAGCATGTTAAATTGGGGGAAGAGCAATGTATTAAATTGGGGAGGGAGGACAGTGTATTCAATTAGAGTGGAGGTAGGAGGGGTAGTGTATTAGATTAAGGGGCAGTGCATTATAATGGATGAAGGGTGCAGTGTATTAGAGTGGAGGGAGGGGGCAGTGTATTGGAATGGGTGGAGGGAAGGGGCAGTGTATTGGATTTGTGGGCAGTGTATTAGAATTAGGGGAGGGCAGTGTATTGGATTTGTGGGCAGTGTATTACAATTAGGGGAGGGCAGTGTATTGGATTTGTGGGCAGTGTATTAGAATTAGGGGAGGGCAGTGTATTGGATTTGTGGGCAGTGTATTAGAATTAGGGGAGGGCAGTGTATTGGATTTGTGGGCTGTGTATTAGAATTAGGGGAGGGCAGTGTATTGGATTTGTGGGCAGTGTATTAGAATTAGGGGAGGGCAGTGTATTGGATTTGTGGGCAGTGTATTAGAATTAGGGGAGGGCAGTGTATTGGATTTGTGGGCAGTGTATTAGAATTAGGGGAGGGCAGTGTATTGGATTTGTGGGCAGTGTATTAGAATTAGGGGAGGGCAGTGTATTGGATTTGTGGGCAGTGTATTAGAATTAGGGGAGGGCAGTGTATTGGATTTGTGGGCTGTGTATTAGAATTAGGGGAGGGCAGTGTATTGGATTTGTGGGCAGTGTATTAGCTTGGGTCTGCATCGAGGCACTGAACACTCCCCATGGAGATGCTGATTGGCCGTGCAGGTTTTTGCCACACATGCACAATAGCCTCCCAATGCTTTCCTGTGGGAAAGCATTGGATTGGCTGAGATCATCAAGTGTTTGATGATCTCAGCCAACGTGAAGAACACACTTATAGGACTTCAAAATCAACAAGATAACATCATTTGTTTTTTTTTTTACAGCTGTGCAACAGCATACATTCACCATTTCAGACCAATTACCAAACTTTTCTTAATATGTTAAGGTAGTTGGACTGAAACATTAGTTATATGCAAATGCACGTCTCCTTAAAATAAATGTGTTCTTTTGTTTACTTTGAAGCCCTACGAGCGTGAGGACATCCAGTGTCAGTTAGGCAACTTTTTTTATATTATACTTTTCTAAATAAACCTACGTTTCTATGAAAACTGAAGTTTTAGTTTTTTTGCGGCCCACATAAACTTAAACCTTATTTGGCCCGTATTAGCCTTTGAGTTTGATATGCTTGACGTAGAGGCTTTCCTCATGCTTTACCTCCACAGGTAGGCAGAGAAATCTTGCAGATCTGTGGAAAGGCGGCTGATCTTCTCTGAGTCTGGGGCCAGAAGGGAACCTGCTCAGACACTGCTATATGGATACCTACATGGACTCTCCTGGTCGTATCTCACTCTCACTGCTTATGGGGATCGGCTGATCTGGGCTCCCGTTCCATCACCTGTAATGTGCTTACGTTACAGGTTGGCAGCAGCTGAATTGTTAGCATAGCATGCTAGGCACTTTACTATTATTATTTATTTTTAACACTGCATACCCTTCTGACTTTCATAACCCATTTTTTTAAAAAAGGGATCTTATCCTGAATGGAGCGGCTGTTAGGCGGTGTCTTCGGTACCAGTGATTACTTTAGATGCAGGTTTACCAGGTACAAGTTAATCTACCAGGTTCCTCCTTGCATATATGATCCTGTTTATTAGTTTGGCTTGTTAAATAAATATAAAAAGTTCTGTAATTCTGACATTGTCTGCTGTTCCCGATCCCAAATACTGTGCGTGGTGTATGAGAGGCAGGTGAGGGAATTAGGTTATTTTTATTTTAAACTAACAAAGCCTAATTAAAAAAAATAAAAAATTAATCTTAGACACTATAGTCATCAGAACCACTACAGCTGTAATGTAGTGGTTCTAGTGTCTATATCCTGGCTTTTCAATGTAAGCTCTGCCTTTACATTGCTGCCCAGTAACCCCTTTAGTGGCAGTCACTAGAGGTGATTCCTAGTCCAGTGCTGCATGATGTGCAGCATCTACATTCTCACACTCTGCATGGAGGCGCTGAATGGTCCCCATAGATATGCATTTTTCTGCACATGTGCTATTGCAATTCTATGGAAAGCATTGGCTTGGCTATGACCATCAGGATTTCCTCAGCCATGGAAAAGGTGAGAGAAAAAGGTGAGTAAAAAACACCTATCCCATGCGATTAGAGGAGGAACGGTCACCTAAACAGACACACATTTACTCATATGAAAACAAGGAAGTGGACTCAGTAGTTTAGGTGATAATCACATCACCCAACATGCAGCACTTTCTTAATACATTGGTAGGAGATTTTTTCACATGTATAGAGAGAGATAAAGAAAATATAATAGTGTAATACTGTTTTGAAAAATAACCTTTAAATTTGAGTGACTGTATACATAAACTCACATTTTACTGCACCTTGGGACTTTGCATGTTGGGTGGTGGGATTATCACCTAAACTTCTGAGTCCACTTCCTTGTTTTCATTGTGAAATTTGAGTGGATTTTTTAACTGTGTTATAGTTGCGGATATCAAATTTGACGTTTGTTAGACATTCTGAAGCACCTTACATACACTATATTAAGATATTTGTGTACACATTTACTCACACCCTCACAAATTGTTATTTTTGTTTTAATTTAAGTTCACAGAGCCTCCTACTTTTGGGAGAGCTGGAGTGGATCCTTTTCCTAGGATCCAGTGGAGCTGCTGTAATCTTCAACCTTTTCCAGCTCTATTCCTTCAAGTTTTGTTTAGTGACCTCATATACCGGCCTCAAAGCAGGGTGCACAAGGGAGCAGAGCAAGAAGATTATTATTGCCATTTATATTGCGCCAACAGATTCTGTAGCACTTTACAATATTATGAGAGGGGGGATTTAACAATAAATAGGACAATTACAAGAAAACTTACAGGAACGATAGGTTGAAGAGGGCCCTGCTCAAACGAGCTTACAGTCTATAGCTCACATCTCTCTCTGCCTACTGCATCGCAGAACGGACTAACAAACACCCAGATACGGGGACAAAATTCCTAGTCACCATGGGATTTGTCGATCCCTGATTTAAGATTTGTTTTTATACCCACACATACTCCTACATCTGGGTGATATTTATTAGAAGCTGCATGTCTAGAGATGCCGGTACAAGCAGGGGAATTCTCTATAATCATCCATATTTAGCTATACTCCTATTTCCTGTTTCTCATTTTACCCCATTGTAGACATTTAAAAAAAATAAAAAAAAATGATTTCCATTCCTCAGAATTACATCCTAATGAAAAAAAAAAAAAAACTCTACAGTAGAAGATTCGCAACAGCAAAAGCTGTTCTTACTTAAAGGGAACCTCCAAATCCCTAAAGCACTTTAGGTTGTCGAAGTGCCTTATGTGTTAAGAGTGTGTACTTTTTAATTTTACAAAAGTACAGAGTTCAATAGATAAATCTCATAAAAATAACCTTCTTACACCCCCCAAGCTTTCACTCAGACAACCTGTCCTGTTACTTGTTGATTGGTTTGGTGGAGCTAAACTCAAGGTCCTTCTCATTGAGCTGCATTGTGAAGTCTATGGTTGTACAGCCCTAGAAAATCTGGCCTTTTAAGAACAGAGATTAATTTAAGAGCTTATATTTTGGAGAACTATTCTGTCTATTCCAAAATATTGAAACTAATGTTTTATCAGTCGCCTGTCTGGCTTCCTTTATTACAAATTCCCTATACTCTGTTTTCTTAAGGTGCAAAAAACAAAACAAAGTCATTACAACTAGAGTTCCCATGTGGTAAAAGGTATGCAGTGACACTAAAATAAAAAAAGACTATTTTATTATGCACAATAACAGAACCTAGCATAAAAAGGGACACATTTGATTTTTTTTGTTTTTAAATAATAACACCTCAGTAATCTGTGCTGTTAGGTTTTAAATAAACCCACAAATACTGAATCTTGTTATGAAGAAGATTAGAGAGCAGTCAGGTTCAGTACAGAACAGAACAGACAGTAAAATATGACATCACAAAATTCCACTAGATCGCGATGCGGGGGGAAATACAGATTTATTTTGGGGGGTCCGTATTGATGCCATATTTTTCTTTGAGAAGTTTAAGCTGTTCCTCTTTTTTCTTTGTATCCATCTTCTGGAAAGCCTGTAAATAAAATGGTTAAATAATTAAAACCTTAAGCCTTGTGTTTTTCTATTACAAGTAATCGAACTGAATCATTAAAATTAATTATGAGTAAGTATGCAGAACCGGAAACTCCTGCCCACATATACAAAAATAAAAAATTGTTGTGCTTTCCTCAAGATCAGGGTTCTCCAAAATCTATTCCTCCAGATGTTGCTGAACTACAACTCTGATTCTCTGGCTATTTCATTCAATAATTAGAGTTGTAGTTCAGCAATATCTGGAGGACCAGAGTTTGGAAACCCCAGCTCTAGATGGGCAAGATGGATGAAACAATCTAGTTAACTATATTTAAGGAGGAGACTATATTAAAAATAAGAATAATGACCACAACAAGAAGACAGTCTTAAATTAGAGGGGGAAAGGTTTAAAAATAATATCAGGAAGTATTACTTTACTGAGAGGGTAGTGGATGCATGGAATAGCCTTCCAGCTGAAGTGGTAGAGGTTAACACAGAGAAGGAGTTTAAGCATGCGTGGGATAGGCATAAGGCTATCCTAACTATAAGATAAGTCCAGGGACTAATGAAAGTATTTAGAAAATTGGGCAGACTAGATGGGCCGAATGGTTCTTATCTGCCATCACATTCTCTGTTTCTATGTATCTCCTTAAGTCAGAGGTCATTTGTGATTTAATTTTCAGCTACTGGGATAGTTCACAGAACAAAAACAATTAAATTGAACACAAGAAATACAAATTTAAAAAGGGGAAATATACTTAAAATGTCCACTTGACACACATAAAGCACTTTAGCTTGCTGAAGTGCTTTATGCATGAAGAGTGTCTTTTTTTATTTTGGCATTTTAATAAATTGAAGTGGCTCGGTTCTTTTTTACACCCCACCTTACTTTTCAACCCCCAAATTTTCCTTTCCCCAAATCATTCCCCTTTATCTATAACTATACTAATATTCACATAATGTCACAGTCTTCTCCTACCCGAGTATTTGAGTTAGACTTTGGCTCCGCCAAAATGAGTATTGTCTAAATACATTTAGATGGACAAAAACGATTAGTTTTGTCAAAGTAGAATTTCACACGTTGATGGTTTTTAAGCGAAATTTTGGCTTTATGTTAGTTTGGGATTTTTATTCAGACTAATGAATTTCCCATGCGGGCTGCGGCTGCATCTTGGAGCCATTTAGTAGATAACTAGACAGATACCAAATTAGGGATCTGTTTAGTAGATAACTCCTTTTGGTATGCATATGACAATCATACAAGAATTAGAGAACTATCAACTAAAACGTTGAAAGACCAAAATTACATATAGCCTTTCCTTTTTATAAAATTTGGTCTTTCATGCTACGTTACTAATACTAAGTAAAACAAACTTTGTATTAGTAAATAAAGAAGGTTAAATTCTGCCTCTACCCACCGTGCCACGAGTAGGGGCACGTCTACTAGTGGCTGATATAAAAAAAGACAAGCGACTGGGCAGCTATTTTGAGCATGTCCTGTCTGGAATATTTTACAATCTACTGAGATATCCTTACAGAAATATATGTCTTACCCTGTTTGCGTTGTAGTACAATACAACCAAGTATCTGTTACAAACATTGAAACCAGAGAGATGATCGCAGGCATTTTTGGCATCAAATATATCTTCATAAACCACGTACGCTGTTCCTCTGGTCTCTGGTGTGTTTCCACTGTTAATGAGAGAAAAAAAAAGTAAAGTTTAATCTACAGTCTTCAAAAACCCAGATCACTAAGAACCTCTATGCTATTTATTGCAACCCTGGACTGCATGTTTTTTTTTTTTTTTTTTTTACAAGGGTTACTTCTGTGATTTGATGTGATTATAGAGCTTGGAGTCTACATTTGCATTGTTGCACTATTAAATGCACTTTCTTCAGCATCATTAGCCAGCCCAGTACGGGGATTCCAAGATAGGTAACATCAGTTCTGTGCACATTAGGTCTGACGCATAGCATGCTTGGAAAAGGAATCAATGGCGGCATGTCTAAAATAGTCTGTGCCATCCAAGGAATTTCCTCAGCTTGTCCTCCCTGGCATCTTGCCCTCCAGTGAGGTGGAGTAACATGACCAGGGGAGGATTTGGCTGCCGGGACAACTTGGCCTTGCCTTTAAAACCTTGCATGCGCATTAGGGCTCCCCATAGGAAAGCATTAAAAATGCTTTTCAATGCTTTCCTATAAGGAATTGAGCGACGCTGGAGGTCCTCACACAGCATGAGGATGTCCAGCAAGGCTCTAGCACAGGTTTTCTGTGCTATAGAGCAGGAAGTGCCCTCTAATGGCTGTCTAGTAGATAGCCACTAGAGGTGGAGTTAACCATGCAAGGTAATTATTGCAGTTTATAAAAAACTGCAATAATTACACTTGCAGGGTTAAGGTTAGTGGGAGTTGGCACCCAGACCACTCCAATGAGCAGAAGTGGTCTGGGTGCCTGGAGTGTCCCTTTAAATCACATACAGGAAGCTCCTGCAGGGTCTAGCAAGTTATGAACAGTTAAGTTGATGGGAAATTCTAAATTAAAAAAAAAAAAAGAGTCCGTCGTCCACTCTCAAATCTGGCGCAATATAGCAGTACTAGCTTTAATATAGTTTTGCAATTTAATCTATTGTAATAAAACTGCAATATTGTGCACTAGGGGGAAAAAGCATTTCCCTGAATGGGTGCCCATGATATTTTAATATACATTTTATAAATCCAGAGAGAAATTAATGCCTCCAACGTTTACATCCAAACTCAAATAAAGTACGTTAATACGTCTTTGTTAGGCAGAGGCAGTGAATAGAGCTATGCATTTAATACGCTGTGACATGTATTTGAAAGTATGTGTTGTAAACACCCACGCACACAAACACATTCATGATTAGGTTTACCCGGTTAGAGAAAAACATTACCTTGTATTACAATACATGACTGGAAGGGTTTCAATGATTGAATATTGCATTTGTGCTATTATATTAATGTTCAAGTGGCAGCAAATTGTGTTGCTAGGCAACCACCAGTACACCTACTGTGGCTTCTAACAGGCTGTATAGTTGGAAACTGTTTCTGTTTAATCAAGGAATACATTGCATATTTTCCAAGTGTTTCCTATAACATATATATATATCCTAAAAATAGTGGGCTTTAACAACATTAGGACATTATGGAACGTCTTGGACCCGGGAGACCCAGATATCAACAGATACCGGGGCTCCCCTCTGTATGCGTGGCCTCAGACTAATCGATGAGCTGTGTGCAACACTCATGCTGAAAACACCATGAGATGGCCATCATAGACCGCTTTCTACTTTTTTAGCAGTGAAATGCCTGTGCTGATTTTAGCAGAGGGAATTCCTCAGTTAGGGTTACTGTAGGATAACCGCTAATGCTTGGTAGTCACAAGTGCAAATATCTCTGTATGTGCAAAGCTTCTAGCAGACTGCTCATTCAGACTCCTATCACCATGACCAGTTAAAATCATTGAAGTGGCCACAGTGGTTGGAGTAACCCTTTAAATCCATCGCCGTTAGTAGTCTCTTCACTGCACTTTGCCTTGTTAATAATCTATTAACAGGACATTGTCCAATTAAATGCTTCTCATGTAGAAGCATTGCGCACCTTAAGCGAATGAGTGGCTTTCAAATTAGATCAATGATGTGAACGAGACACTGCCTTCACAAGTGGTGATCGGATTGTCAGTTCAGCTCGCCGCTCAAATGTCCCACAGTAAAGCTCTGGATTGGATCGTTGATTACAAGAGCAACAACAATGAGCATCACAACATACAAATACTTGTTTTCAATGAGCAGCAGTCCAATTCCGTCGACATCTTGATGTCACAGTATGACTGGGTATGCAAACAGGAAATTTAACTAAACGTTCACCGATCAGAGGGCTTGGGGAGATAGCTACAATCTGCTAATCAAGGCCTATAAAAAGATAAATAATTACATTTATGTGAAAAGGAAAACTATGAACTTATGGCATTAACTATAACAACTCCAAATTAGACAAAATTGTAATAGGACTCTGTCCTTAAAGGGATACTATAATCACCAAAAGAACTTTAGCTTGCACCTATGGTGCAGAAGGAGTTCAAAACCCCTTCCATCACTTACATAATTCCAGGGACGAGCGCCACAATTGCATTAGGACTTGCCCCATAGGAAAGCATTGTGTAACGCCTTCCTGTGGCGTTTCGGGTGACGTTGGATGTCGTCATGCATAGCCATTGGAGGTGGAGTTAAGCCTGCAATGTAACTATTGCAGTATATCAAAAACTGCAATAATTACAATTGCAGGGTTAAAAGGCCTTGGACACTGCACCCAGACCACTTGAATGAGCTGTAGTGGTCTGGGTGCCTAGTGTCCCTTTAAGCATTTAGGGTATATAGATCATACTCATGCAGTCTCACTATTCAATTTGTTTGCCATTTAAGAGTTAAATCACTTTGTTTATGCAGCCCTATGCACACCTCCCGGCATGTGACTGCCATAATCTTATTAAACACTTCCTGTAAAGAGTAATTTAATATTTACACAACCTGTATAGCAAATGATGTTTAATTTAGAATTATCTCCTGCTCTGTTAATACATGACTTGACAAATTTTCTTCGAAACTAGGAACCAGGTTTTTCAATGTCAAAAATAAAATTCTTAAAGGGACACTATAGTCACCAGAACCACTACAGCTCAATGTAGTTGTTCTTTTGTCTATACCCAGCCCCTCCACACTTTTCTCTTTAAAAAAAAAAAAAAGGCAGGGTTTACATTGAAAAGTAGTATTTACATTGTTGCCTTGCATCCTGGATCAGTGCTGCAAAGTACGCAGCAGCTACGTTTAGTGTCTCCACGCTCTGCATGGAGGCACTGAATGTTCCCCATAGAGATGCATTCATTCAATTCCTCTCTATGAGGAGATACTGATTGGCACAGCATGATGTTTTGCCACACATTCGCAATAGCCTCCCAGTGCTTTCCTACAGGAAAGCATTGGATTGGCTGAGATCATCAAGATCACAGCAGGGCCAGCTGTGGCAAGACCACCACAGTGTGGAGGTAAAAAGGTGAGTAAAAACCTTTTACCCGTGTGATTGGAGGGGTACCGGTAACCTAAACACACACACACTCACTGCAACAACACACATTAAGATGACAACCCAGCATCTCTACCTGGAGCTGGAGTGGTTTGGCTTTCCCTGGGGTCCAACGGGGCTTCAGTCATCTCCCTGCTCTGCTCCATAGAGTGCTGTTTAGTGATGCCGGGGACGGAATTACGTCATATTCCAGCTCCCGGCATATCTGGAGGACGCACGAGGGAGCAGAGCAGGGAAGTTACAGCTCCCTTGCCCATCTGCCTCAATCTTCCAGAAGTCTGCCACCCATGCGCACACCCCATGCTCTCCGTCCAGCCGGGCGGCTGACTGCATGCCCATGCTCTTTATGAGCCGACCGCCTCCACTCATAGGCAGCCGACCACCTCAAGGGCTGAATGGGCCAACAAATCCCAGGCACCAGGACTAAAAGCCTAGTCGCCATGGCACCTGGGATTTGTCAAGCCCTGTGTTAATAGTATGCTAAACCCTGCAGGAGCCCCAGATGAACGTAAAGTAAAATTTACAGAGGAAGAGCTAATAACTTTTAAAGTATGTTACATCTGATTGAAAATGAAACCATTTTGTTTTCTTGCAGGCTTTGTCAGTCATGGCCAGGGGATGTGTGGCATGGACAGAAATAAAAGTGTTTCAGCTAATAAACAGCAGTGAATTGAGCAGTAAAACTTCAGAGGCATAATCTATACCACTAAACTGCTTTATTAAGCTAAATTCAGACCGTTTTCTACTGTTTTCCCTTTGAGGAATAAATAAAATATAAATGAGTCTGATCGATTCAGGAGTATCCATGTAAGATAATGTGTCTCCCACTCACTAATTATTTTTTTTAAAAACAAAAACACAAACATGTATTATGTCAAATCTATCAATAAGTGTCTGTTTAAAAGGATTATTTTGTCACAACATGCACAAGAAATATTCAATGAGGATAAAGAGTAAACATACACTCTGATCTGTCGAATAGGTCCATATTTGCCAAAGATATCGTACATTTCTTCACCAGTTATTTTATAAGGCAAGTTCCTGATATATAAAATCCTATTCACTTCAGGTGGTAAGCGAATCTGAAATAAAAATAAATTTTAATAAAAGCAGTGAATACTACAAGACACCATGCATGAAAGATAGTTATAAATAAATAAAAACAGAAACCAATGCTATTTTAGAGGGTCCACACTGTTTGGAACAGTGACACTAGATAGATCCTGGGCACCCCAGGAAGAATTTAATTAAAATAATTGGATCTTCATTACATACACTAATGTTATAAACCCACTCCCCCCAGAACCAAGCTGTCACTGAGGGTTGGCTTCACATATTAATCATCACAATTAGGCGGCCAAACTTTGAAAAAAAATAAAAAAATATATTATTATTATTATTATTATAATTATATATATATATATATATAAAAATAATTTATTTTTTAAAGTCCAAATTGGAAATCACTTAAATGTGGGTTTTATTTTTGTAGATCTTAACATCAGTAACCAATCAATGGCTAAAATTGATTTTATAAAAGGTGATTTAAAAAATAAAATAAATAGGAAAAAGGGAAGGGGGTTGGAAAATCACAGCAATTTAGTATGCATCATATTATACAACATCACAAACTCCCTATCCAAAACTTTTACATACTGGCTGATTACTTCCTCTAATTATTAGTCATTTTCTGACAAAAAGATTAATAAGGAAAGTCATAAATTGAGGCCAGAATCAAACACAAGGAAAATAAATTAAGCACTGCCCTCTACTGGAGAAGACAAGCTATACAATACCCAGATGGCAGGCAGGAAATGTGTTTATAGTCCATATAAAGTGGCACTGTGATGCTTTCATTCCCCTAAAGACACCCCCCCCGCCCCCACCCTTATCTACCACCACCACAGGCAGCATGTTCGTCTGCACGTCCTGATGGGACAAGGTGAAGGGAGATACTGTCATGCAATACTCTGCACCTCTGTGTCTTAGGGTTTCTCCAATAAAAGCAAACACTTTTCACCGCAAATTGCCCTTCACCCCTACCCAAATAATCCCTTAAATTTATGCCAATTTTCCCCTCAGCCCAATCCTCCTCTGCTAAACTCCCTCTGTATCGCTGGATGGGTGTGGGCTGGTGTCTGATATCCAATATGAACAGAGCGGATATTAACCACCCTGAAACTCTTATTCTGGGCTTGCTAATGACAATCCAATGAACCCGCCGGAGGTTGATTTATGCCTCCAGCAGCAAAGGGATTAAACTCTGAATGTGCAGTGTTTCATAGAGAAAACGCTGCACATAAAAATACCAAGATATGGTAATTAACAGGATATATGCCCACTGATCCATTTTGCAAAAAAAAAAAAACAAAAAAAAAAACAAAAAAAAACCAACAACTGTACATACATAAGACACAGCATTCCTTAACTTTGTTGTATTTGATCTTTTAAAGGCAAATATGACTAGACAGCCCTAAAATTCACATAGTAGCGAGATACTCTACAAATTAATGACATGGACATCAAAAACACTTGACACTTTAACAAGGAAGTGCCTCTAGTAGTTGGCAGCCTGAAATCTACTATAAGTACGTGCTCATACAAACATAATTTGTGCTTTTGAGGAACAGCAATGTTCTTCACTGTCTGATAAAAGAGACAGTATCTGTTAACCAAAATCATTACAGTGAAACCAATACTACACACCCCCCTCCTCCCCCAAAATCAGTTTGCGGGGGAGACCTGCCGCGCTCATATTAGTACTTCCCCTATAGCAAAAAAAGTAAATGTCCACTAATGGCACCCGGACAACATCAACTCAATGAGCGGCCCTGTTGTTTTAGCCCTTCAGTGTAAAATATTTCCACTTTGAAGAAACAGAAATGTTTACATTGAAAGGTTAAAAACATGTCCATCGACTCTCTTCCTGACAGCAGCTTTTGATTGGAGTGCAACATTTTGGCACACATGACTATCCCGTCCTCAAAGATAAGCCATGGATTGAACGAGACAGGATCGGAACCAATCAGCAGCTATTCTGATAAAGACTGAGTTGGAGCGGAGATGTCTCTGCGCTGGAAATGTTGAGTAATCGTTATTAAACATAACTTTTTAAATTGTGGGTAGTGAACAAATATCAAAATAACATAAGAAAACTTATAGTCCTGAAAAGAAAATATTTTTGGGAGACTATAGGTGTCCGTTATAGTGTTTTAAGGAATTAAAGTGTTCCTTTAACCCACAACAGTCCACACTCCACCCTTATACCCATTTTACTCACTGCTACAGTATTGTTCACACCTGAAAGCCTCCCTTACGGATACTCCATGTCTCTGAAAGAGCTCATTTGAATGTGCAAGACCTAAACCCTTAAGATTGTTGCCCAAAATATAGATCCCCAGACTTTTTGAAAACTACAGCTACCATGATGCTTTGTCATTGTAAAGGCATGCAAAGCATTGTGGTGGTTGTAGTTCTACATCCGGGGGCTCTATCTTTCGGGCAGCCATGTTTTAAACCCCCCAAATCAGGTGAATAAAGTTTGGATACATTGTGACTGAGGTCCCGGCGCATTGTTACTACCCTGCGGCGGTCCCGGCGCATTGTTACTACCCTGCGGCGGTCCCGGCGCATTGTTACTACCCTGCGGCGGTCCCGGCGCATTGTTACTACCCTGCGGCGGTCCCGGCGCATTGTTACTACCCTGCGGTGGTCCTGGCGCATTGTTACTACCCTGCGGTCCCGGCGCATTGTTACTACCCTGCGGTCCCGGCGCATTGTTATTACCCCGCGGTCCCGGCATTGCTATTACCCGGAGAGCCAGGAGATAGGTCCATCTATCAGCAGCATGTAGCCCAGGCGCTACTGCACTGCAGATGTTTTGTACTACACCTCCCATGATGCTTTGCCAACATTATGGGTGTAAGAGCATTATGGGGGATGTATGCCGAAGGTTGCCTACCCCTGTATTACAGGCAGCCAGGATACCCCCAGCTCTACCCCCTGATAGCCCCGCTGGGAGCCACACTGGGGGCCGTATGATCCGAGCTGTGTCCGGTTGGCTCTGTCGCGGAGTTTAGTAAATATCGCCGCTCAATGATCAGACTCAGTCCCTCCTCCCTCCTATATTGGCCGGTATGTACTTACATTCGCACGTTTCGCCGCTTGCATCGCCATCGTGACCGTCAGGAGTGGGATTCACGCCAACACCAGCAGATCCAGCAAGAGAGAAAACACTGGGCGCACAGGAAGTGACGTCACCGCCAGCCGCCCGTGACTTCCGCCGCCGGGTGCTATACACTAGAGTGGACTCTGCACCTCCGCCGAGTGCTATCCACTAGAGTGGACTGTCAGCTGGTGACCCTCAGAAAGTCCAATACCAGGGTTGTGTTTGGTACCGCGATGAGACTAATAAAAGGGCTATAAAAATATATCCTACAGCATGGGAAGAGGAATCTGGCGAATTAGCTTCTACGTAGGTTTAAAAAAAAAAAATGCATTGTGCTTCAACAAAATGGATGCATCGTAGGGGGAAAAAATACACCTGACTCTTTGGTGCGGAAAGGTGTTGGGAGAATGAAAAAGCTGTTAATTAAAAGTAATAAAATAAAATGGACTCCACCAAAATGGCTCCCACACAGGGAACAACATATAGATTGGCTCCAGCAAAAGGGCTCCTTCATAGGGAACAACATATAGATTGGCTCCAGCAAAATGGCTCCCACACAGGGAACAACATATAGATTGGCTCCATCAAAATGGCTCCCACAAAGGGAACAACATATAGATTGGCTCCAGCAAAATGGCTCCTACACAGGGAACAACATATAGATTGGCTCCAGCAAAATGGCTCCCACACAGGGAACAACATATAGATTGGCTCCACCAAAATGGCTCCTTCACAGGGAACAACAAATAGATTGGCTCCATCAAAATGGCTCATACATAGAGAACAACATATAGATTGGCTCCAGCAAAATGGCTCCTTCATAGGGAACAATAAATAGATTGGCTCCAGCAAAATGGCTACTCCATAACATAAAAAAGTAGCATTGCAAGATTATTTATTAACGTGAGAATTCAAAGTGATTTTAAAATGTATGGTCAAAGTAGCCAAACTGAAAGCAAAGCGGAATTGGAGACATTTTCCACTTAAGATTTTTTTTTTTTTTTTACCTTAGCTGTGAAATTCGCCTTAGTAAATAACTCTGATGGAGAACTAATTGTGCGTGCAGTTCTTACTTTCCACAATACCACTTTAATCCGATAAAAATGCCCAGGAAGAATTTGCTATGTGATGTTGGCCATTTAGTTGTGGGTACTGGGAATTATTTGTATTATTAGTTCCTGTGATATGTACTATGCTGGCAGGGTTTAAAATTGTAAGTCCTAAGCTATTAGCCACTTTACCTGCCACTACACGCCTGGAGCGTCCATGGCATATTCACAAGGTGTGAATTTCTGCTCACCAGAGATAATTTTTCATTCGTTGGGGAGTGGGAATCTTCAGCCCTGATCAAAGTATAAGATTTGTCTGATCTTTACAATTTAATAGATACTATATATCTCTAACCCTTGTAGGGGACTGTGAAGAAAATATTCTTAGTTTCGGCATTTTCTTCTGTGTTCGTGACTTTCTGCAACATTTAGTTTGTTTTGGATTTATTGGTTCGGCAGTTTAAAAACTACCGAACACCGACCACCCTCCTGGCTCATTAACTTCAAAGAGAACCGTCTATTAAGCACTCTCTGGGTGTCCGTTTGTATAGCCGAATGCCACGTGGAACAGAAAATGGCGGCCATCTTGTTTGCACGAAAGGAGGCAGCAGGACTTGGTCGTCGAGTGTCTGGAACTAAAATCGGACACTCGACTTCCTGAACCACCACTGAAACATACGAACGCCTGCTTCCTTTTGTTGCCGAACAGCCAGGAGAGCGCCATTCGGTAGTTTGCTTCATACGAACAAGGGGAGCAATCGCTCCTATGACCCAGGAGGATCCATTCGTGACTTTACTAGTTTTTATGCCATTTTCTGAATTGACCGAACACACATGCTGAATTCGTGGAACTGTTTTGGGCAGGAGCCTCGTGTGTGGTCGGTAAATTATGACTTCCATACTTTTTGAGAGCCCCTGAACCGATCTGGGTGAAATTTGAATGTGTTGGTCCCCCAGATCGGGGCTATCAGGCGAGATACCTGTTGTATAAAGGGGTGTTCTAAGTTTTGGGAAAAATGTGTGCTCTTTGCCTGGAGATAATTCGGTTATTCCTTAACTTATCTCAATATCTCCCAGGCAGAGAGAGGGAGTGTGTTACTTCAAACCTGTACTCTGATTATTTCCTTTGTTTACTGTGGGAGGTCCTCTTGCAGGAGGATTCCCATAAAAGCCAGTATGGCATCAATAAAACACGATTCCTTTTACACCCTTCATGAAGTCTAGGCTCATGCTTGGGGAATATTTTACTTGCTGGGGAGAATTGTCTTGGAAGCGGCCTTCATCTACACTATTCCTCTACACCCCAACTGCAGTTATAATCACTTATGCTCAGCTATTGGGAAAGGAATAGAAGACCGCAGTACCATAACCATTGCAGGTCTTAATAGGGACAATGCTTCACCACGAAATTTGCAATATGTATTTGTTATAATTTGTTCTTTTTCAAACTGTTTTTATGACTGGGGAACTACTGATTCCACTTTAAGTCAATCAACAGCGCCCTGCGGCTGTCCGAGAGTGACTTGAGAAATATTACTGAAAGTGGATGTGGACAGAGAAACGGCACTGCAATGCAGACTTAGAAGTTAACCATTAATGAACGGTTTAATACCTTAAAGGACCACTATAGTGCCAGGAAAACATACTCCTTTTCCTGGCACTATAGGGTCTCTAGGTCCCCCCCACCCTCAGGATCCCCCTCCTGCCGGGCTCTAGGAGGTGGAAGGGGTTAAATCTTACCTTACCTCTCCTCCTCCTTTTCGCCGGCATCGGCTGAATGCGCATGCGCGGCAAGAGCCGCGCGCTCATTCAGCCAGTCCATAGGAAAGCATTCTCAATGTTTTCCTATGGACACTGGCGTCTTCTCACTGTGAAAATCACAGTGAGAAGAGCGGAAGCGCCTCTAGTGGCTGTCAATGAGCAAGCCACTAGAGGCTGGATTAACCCATTTGTAAACATAGCATGTTTACAGCAGAAAGGGTTAAACCTAGATGGACCTGGCATCCAGACCACTTCATTAAGCTGAAGTGGTCTGGGTGCCTATAGTGGTCCTTTAAATACTTTATTTTTCATTGACAGAGGCTACATGTATATGGCATATGAACAGGTAGACACAGTTTATATATTTTAAGGCATGATAGACAATGACATTTGCAACATCTTTATCACATCGAAATCCTTCTATGTGTCAGTGCTACTGTCAACTGTGTTCTACTAGGGGTGTCCCCCCGTGTCTGTTATTTACATCCACAAGTTACCTCTTGTCAACTTTTTTATTTTCTAAGAGATTAACAGTGCTTCTTATAGTCTGAACTAGTTAGATAGGCGGTACAGCAGTTATAGTGTGATTCATACTGGTTAATGCGTCCCTGATTGTTTGTGTACGCTCCATGTCAAATGATATCATAGAGGATGCCTAATTTTTAAGGTTAGAAGTTTCTCTATTCCATATTTTTTTTCTTTTTTGACATAATGCTTGTGATAAGTACATCATACTTCCCAAACTTGGCAAGTATGAGAATGGGTTCATTGATGATTCCAACCAGCAACTTTTTAAAATCTGCTAGTAAATTTAAAGTGGAACGGTGTCTACCTGTACAAGCAATACTTTTTCCAGATTTGGTGGGAAAGCCTGAAATTTGGGCTCCTGTCCTCACGCCCTGTAGTTGCTTTCTGATATCCTGCTTTTCAGAACACGTCCCAAGAGGCGCTCACACACTGTGCAAAGCCCACTCAGAGCAATCAAACAATGGGCAGGAAAATTGAGAAGCAGTCTACAGTAAGACTCAAGTTAGTAGGGGTACCAATATATGTACAGCCTGTAGATAAGATAGAAGCACTCTACATTGTCAGTCCTTGGTGGACAAGCCAGAACTTTTATCAGTCAGGCTGGCAGGTATTCGTGGCTGGAGATAATTGACAGGAGAATTGTAAATGTTTCGCCAAAATAGATAGGTCAGAAACATTCTCCAAGTGAATAGTTTTTCCCTTTTCTGTCCTAGCAAAACTAAATAAATAAAAAAAGTTTAATACTCAATTCTCCACATTTTTATTTTAGGTGACCAATCAGCTCCTCGACTGTTTCTTGGTGAAACGTTTGACGTGGCAGTCTTGATATATAACAAAGTTAACATAAGGTGTAGAGATGATTCTAGGTGTGACATTTGCATGTAGATCTGTAGTTTTTGACTCTGAGCAAGAAAAATTCAATGCGAGTAAAGCAGGTCTTTGTGAGTCTGAAAAATCAATGATAGACATCAGTAAAACATTGTTTCCATTGGACTCTGACCTATAGCAAAGTATAAACTAAATGGTAAACCAAGGCTAAATATAACTGATCTGAAAAGAAATCTCAATGTCAGACATGACCGCAGATGGCCACTGTAGTCTCAATTTTGGCATATTTTAATTTGCTACCGTTTTGAGATTAGTGAATAACCCATTATTTGTATCTAAACCATCCATGTAGTGCTTAAAAGGAACACTATAGGGTCAGGAACACAAACATGTATTCCTGACCCTAAAGTGTTAAAACCACCATCTAGCCCCCCTTGCCTCCCTAAATATAGCAAAATCCTACTTGTATTCAAGTCTGCAGCTGCTGGCTCTGCCTGCTTCTGAGCTGCCTACTGACATCATCAGAAGTGGTGGTCTGAGCCAATCACAATGCTTCCCCATAGGATTGGCTGAGACCGTCAAGGAGGCAGATCCAGCACAAGTCAAACACAGCCCTGGCCAAACAGCATCTCTTTATAGAGATGAATGGAATCAATTTATCACTATAAGGAAAGTTCAGTGTCTGCATGCAGAGTGTGAAGACACTGAATGGCAGTGCTGCTCACTGTGCAGCACTGCCCCAGGAAGCACCTCTAGCAGCCAGTGGAGTTATCACTAGGCTGTAATGTAAACACTGCATTTTCTCTGAAGAGATGGTATTTACAGCAAAAAGCTTTAAGGGAATGATTCTACTCACCAGTAAAATACAATACATAGTGTCTCTTTAAATAAGAGCAAGCAGGTAAGCCCAGCACTTAATGGCAGTGGTGTATCCTGGTTTTGTGTTGCCCTAGGCAGGACAAAACTCAGGCACCCTCCTGCCCTCCCCCCGCGCCACCCCCACCCAACCCTTCCCCCCCACCCCACCTTCTAAATACACACACACACACAGTCAGACACAAACAGTCAGACACACACAGTCAGACACAAACACACACAAACACACAGTCACACACACACACAGACACACAATCACTCACATTAATGCTTTTTTTTATTTATTTAACCCCCCCCCAGCCTCCTTACCTTTGGGAGTGCTTGGGGGGGGTTCCTCTCTCTCCCTGGTGGTCCAGTGGCTGCTGGTCGGGCTGATGGGCTGGCTACTGGGCGGACGGCTGGCGAGGGAGCACTTCCTCTGAGCTGACTGAGCCTGGGAGCCGGGTTGATGACGTCATTTTCCGGCTCCCAGCCTCACTCTGCGGCGCACGAGGGAGCTGAGCAAACCGCTCAGAGGAAGAGCTCCCTCGCCAGCCGCCCGCCCGACCATCAGCCAGCGCCGCCCAGCGCCCAGCATGTCTGTTAGCCGCAAGGCTAACTAGGCATTTGCCCTGGGCATTTGGGGGTGGCGTTTTTTGCCGCCCCCTGAAAAATGCCGCCCAAGGCAAATGCCTTGTTTGCCTCGCAGCTAAAACGTCCCTGCCTAATGGTACATGTAAGATCGTTGTAGCATACCCCCAGCTGTCCCAGACACAACAGATAACCATTGCACAGCGCTATGGAATTTGCTGGCGCTATAGAAATAATAAAATAATAAGAAGAAATTGCATTGGAGAGCATAACTGAAACAGCATTTGCAGGAATGATACAGCTTCCTCATTTTAAATTATTTTTTAAATTATCTTAGGAAGAGCAGTCTGTGTCAGAACATATTTATTCCTCTTGTTCTCACATATCAGAAATAAAAACAGGGAGGCAGGGAATGAGGATGATGTGACAGGAGCACATATGGCTGTGTTTTACAGACTATTCCAAGGGGGGCAACATATTGTGAAGTAACAGCATGATCATCTCTTTGGAATGTTATCGAATAACAAAATACAGAAACACCAAGTGTTTAGTGTAAAGATCATTTAATTTTGAATAATAATGCAGAACATTTATATTGTCCTTATTGGGAATATCAATATTACCGTATTCCTGCAGAGGGCTTTATGAATAAGGTGGAATTTTTGGGGAACTTTAGATAAATTGATAGTGTTCGATTTAAGAAAACGAAAGAAACACACAACAAAAACCACAAAACAATCCAGTTCTCCTGACTCTTCACTGCAGCTCTGACAAGCCTGTGTTAGGAGAGTTTAACAACATGGTATGTGATAACATAGAATGGTTTCCTTAAAGGACATTGCCAAAGTACAAATTAATTATTTTTTTTAAATCACAGTTTTTGTTTTTTTTTAAAGATATAAACACCAATTAAAAAAGTGCACTTTCCCCCACCCTTCTCATTCTGTCCAGACATTCTGTGGCTGTCCAATCACAGACTTCTCAAGGAGAAGTCTTTACAAGGCAGTACACACTCTTGGCACAATCTCACACAGCCCTTAAGTGTGTAAGGGGTGTGGAGTGTCCCTTCAAGGATAGTTCCATATAGTAAGTAAGGCATATGTAGAAAGACATTCAGGGGGAAAAAAAAATCAAAGTGGAGCAATCAGGAGGAGGAACCTACACTGGTTCCCATGATGACTGTTCCACTTATAGCATTATTTAACAATAATACTAAAAAACAGCTTTCCATTTCACACAATTTGGCACGACGTATGAGAAGCATTTTTCTAACTGACAAAGTAACACTCAACACACTTTTATATCTGGCCACAAATCAAAATGGCACACTATTTATTCCCAAGAGAACATGGCATAGTGCCACTATACAATTGTGAGTCTTCTACACTGCAGGTAACTATGGAAACAAAGTGTATTTGCATAATGTGCAGAACCCTCAAGTGACACATTAATCCTGCTGCACAAACCGTATTTGTGGTACTTGATACAGTGCAAACATATGGCACATCGAACGGGGAATAGAATCAAAACAGGGAAATAATGTTTAATTTAAAGTGCTAGGATGGGATCCTTTAACACCTTATATCAACTTATGGCTCTCAGGAGAAGGCTAGTGTCTGGGTAGGTCATTGCTTCCTCAATTTAAAAGTGGACAAAACGTGCAGGCAGGGCTGGCCCAAGACATTGTGCTGACTGGGTGGTAGGATGACATTAAATCATTTGAGAACTGTTTAACACCAAAGTTGCCTACAGAGCCAATCTCAACTCCCCCAGGCGGCATCCTGCTTCTAAAATCTCAGTTTCAGGAGTGTGGAGTGCCGCTGGGCAGGGGTGCCTTTGATTGTCTGAGAGCAGCCAGCTGACATTCTCAGCCAGTCAGTGACTCCCCATTCATAAAATTGGCTTGAAAAGACGCGTACCTTTTTCAAACTAGTTTTCTTAAATGGGGAGTCACTGATCAGCGCTGGAGGCAACTTTGGGGATAAACCGTTAAAGAACAATTTAAACTCTTGAGCTAAGAATGTACCAGTGTACCACTTGGCACAATAGAAACTTCATTTAGAAGAAGTTGTTACGCTGCCTAAACTGTCCTTTTTAAGAAGCAGAGAATGCGCAGTAGGTTCCAGGCTTAGAAGATCTGGTTACTGAACTAGTGGAAATCTGGTTGTTAATGTGTTGCAGTTATTCTGCTCGTTTATAGACTCATTTCTCCGGCATTCATCTAAACAAACATGTGCCTTTCATAGATAACATGTTATAGTATTCAAACTTATCCATTATTATAATTCATTTTCCTACTGGAAACAATTGTATTGAACACTTCTTGTGCTACTTCACCAACTACACGCAGGTAACAGCATTAATTACTTTACATTGCCTTGGATGTGGAAACTGAAACAATCACAGAGGAAACCAATAGAATGTTCTGATTGTTCCACTTTTAGAACTTTAACCCTTTAAGGACACATGACAGAAATATTCCGCCATGATTCCATGTTATTCCAGAAGTTGTGTCCTTTTTGTGCTTTTTATACATAGCCTCCTAATGTATCTCACAGGAGATCAGAGGTATAACTACATATCCTTTTTTTCTTTTTCGAAAAGCCACGGTTTCTCTTCAGGAAACAACAAGGCACTTATTACACAGAATATTTATTAACCTAAATGTTGGCATACCGCTGCCAGATTCTATGGAAAGTCCTTAAGCCAAACAAAGTTAACTAGAAAATCGTAGCTGAAGTTCCACCTCATCAGGTGACTCCCTGTTGCTGTAAATGAAGGTACTTGTTGGGGCGAGAGGATATTAGAAGGGCAGACACCTCCTGTTCAATAGCCAGGTCGAAATCCTGGAGGGTACGAGAAGCATAGTGCAAGTCAGATAGAGAGAGAAAGGAGTGAAGACGGGAAACTTTGTTTCTTAATTGATTAATCCTGTAAAATAGCAGTTATATCATCTGTAAGGTTAGTATGGGGGCAGTTACAGCAAGGTGAAATAGAGGGGAAGGTACCATAGAGACTATTTGGATTATGAGAGTAGGTGCTTATAAGAGGAGAGGTATAATTGGCTAGCGAGGAAGAGAGAGTTGCTGCCCGAATGTAGCATGAATTGGCGACTAAAATAATGAAGAAGTCATCGAACCTAGGATCAGAGAACGAACAAATGGTTCGTAATCCTCACGCTGTCCTTTCAAAGGAATTTTTTGCAATAAGAAAGACCATAAACTATAAACAAAGACTTCACCCTTCTCTAATACGTGGATGAGAATTTCATTTCACTATAGATGTAGTGTCATATGTATTCTGACACAGATAGTATGTGATATTCTTTTAAATATATGAAGACATAAAGCAGATGGTATCCTGATTTACATAAAGTATGTTGCTAGTTATCTCTCTTGGTTTTGGCCCTAGCCAAATGTCTACAGACATCTTATCTACAAGCAGGAAGTATACTTTAAGAGATTCCAGTGGACCCCAAACCAGCCTTCATGACCCAGCAAAAGTACAGTTTTTGTCAGTATCTCCGTTGAAATGGTAAAGGGAAATCCAGAAATCCTGGACTTTTGCTGGTCCATGACTGGTTTCGGAACCACTGTTCTAGACAAAGTGTCTATGACACAGTCTTAATGATATTGCTATTTTATTGTGGGTGCCTCTCTCTTTACAAACAGAACACAAACTTCAGATATGTCTTTCAACCTAAAATAGGCTGTCAATCTCTTGTGTTATGTATTGATTACAATTATATTACTTACAAGCAAGGAATATGGTTATGAATAGTCAACTTTAGTACTTGTACTGTTGATCCTAATATGGTTTTGATACCCAAGTGATGAAAGTAGCACATTGTCCCTGTATAGTATAATAGCCTTATTTAATGCACTCAATTGACTTTTAGAATTTCGGTCTGTGGTCTAACAGTCAGATGGGGATCTGGAGGACAATTTTGCCAGTGTTCTTGTTCTCTTCCATACGTTGATGAGCATCAGATATCTTCTGCAGTTGGTACACACTGTCTACAATCGGTTTCAGATGAATAGGACCACCAGCGGTGAAGTGTGGAAGGGCTTGTTCTGAGAAAGCCTTTACCAGATCTGCCTTATACTGGGGGTGGGGGGGACAAAAAAAAAACCCAATCAATCTTGTGTCATCTTTTAGTGTTTCAGAAAAATATATATCTGTGGTTTGAATGGAAGATCGTAACAAATCCAGGGTGCAGCATTCTGATAAATAACAGGTTCTATTCCAATTAATTAGTTAAGAAACTAAAACTGAACAGTCACTGCATTGAAGATGTGTTTCTGGCACAAATGTCCTGTATAGGTATATACAGTGGAACCTCGGAACTCGAACGGTCCCTTACCTGAACAATTCGGCAGTCGAACAAAAATTTAGAGGAAAAAAAAAAGTCTCGGTACACGAACGATCCTCAGTACTCGAACAAATCATGCCACAAACATGTTCAATTATAACACTATGTCTCACTTTGGACATATTTTAAATGCTAGAAGAACAGTTACATAGCCCCATCCAAACAATATTATCTCTTCTCCTTTCCACTTACGCCATCAAGTCTCATCATTACAGGTAAAGTGAAGTTACATTTTCTTTTCATTTACTGTACATTGTGTTATTTTATTTCTATATGATTTTATGTATGTAAGGTATTATTAAACTGTAAAATTAGTGTTAAAAGTCTGTAATTTTGGGGGTCTGGAATGGATTAATCAAATTTACAATAATTCTTATGGCAAATGTTGATTCGGTTCTCAAACAAATCGGAACTCGAACAGCCTTCTGGAACAGATTAAGTTCAAGTTCCGAGGTTCCACTGTACAAGTATTCTCAACTCAAAAAATCTGTAGAAGACTAGTCTAATTATTGTCTAAGATTTGTCATTGGGGATGTATAAAACATCAAAGGCCACAGTTTGTAGCTCAAATCGGTCACACACAATCCATAATTTCAGTCTTCCCCTCTCCACTGTCACATATTAGCTGGTAAATGTGGTCTTGACATTATTACAATACAGTGAGTTAATAGCTTGCAGTAAGTAGACTGATAGATCTAAGTGGGCCTTGTGTTCTGAAAAGCCCTTCTGTAATTGAGCACAAGTCTCCACTTACCTGGCTTGAACGGGATCTTAACAAACTTCCTAAGATACTCCCACGTTTCCATAGAAGCTTGGACAGCAGGTCTCCATTTATCCCACCAGATCCCATGAGTCCATATACCACCCAGCGACCATCCATGTTGAGGCAATTAAGGTTCTTTTCCCAATGCGATGCTCCGACACAGTCTAATATAATGTCAACTCCAACATCTAGAATAAGAAGAGGAATGGAGTTTAATGACAGTCACTACATCATCAAAATCTGTGCTCGGCATTTATAAACACATGAGTCTAGTCTCGTTCAGGATGATGTTAGAGAAAGGGAACCCACACATTCATAAAGCAACCAGCATAACATTAAAAAAAAAAAAAAAGACCACATGAGGACTTGTGCACGAAGAACATATGTCAAGCAGTACAAACCATTATCTGGAATTCTATTTATAAATAATACATAATACATAGGACACGAGGTCATGCATTTAGGCTGGAAGAAAGGAGATTTAGTCTAAGGCAAAGAAAATGTTTTTTTACATTAAGAACTATAAGGATGTGGAATTCTCTGCCTGAGGAGGTTGTTTTATCAGAGTCCATACAGATGTTGAAATGGCAATTGGATAAATACAATGTACAGGGATATAATGTGTAAATTAGTGGGGTAATAGCTTCTTGATCCAAGGAGATATCTGACTGCCATTCTGGGGTTAAGAAGGAATTTTTTTCCTAGTTTGTAGCAAAATTGGAAGCGCTACAGACTGTTTTTTTTTGTCTTCTCTTGGATCAACAGCAAAAACAGATGTGAGGAAGGCTGAACTTGATGGACTAAAGTCTCTTTTCAGCCTATGTAACTATGTAACCATGTAAGCAGCTTCAATCAACATGGCTAATTAGCCTGACATCAATTACCAGTTTGTTTAAATAACACCAAACATTGCTTTTTCAAAAAACCTGGAATTGTTGAGAAACAGAAGAGGGAACTGCAAGTTTTTGGCTAAAATAGGCAAGATGTAAAAGAAGGAGCATTGAAGAATTTTTGGTCCAATCAACCATCCCTGTAGAAGTTTATACCAGCGAAACAAATAGGATCATGGTTGTTGGTTTTTATTTTGTGTATAAATTGCATACTTTGTATGCAGACTAGATTTCGCCTTTACCATTCACCTGCTGTTTATCAAGAGGAGCGGCAGTGGGATTCAGACTGTTTGGAAGTGGCCTTATGTACGTTTGCTATTATACTTGTTTGTAAGTGCAATATAATAAATATATTCCATTTTGCAGCCCCCTATATGCTTTTTTTTTTTCTCTATACCAGAGGATCCCATCTAAATAATGCTACTTTCACCAGAGGTGCTGCCCACAGCATCCATAAGGATTCGGTGATATGCTCTTATTTTTAAAATGTGCAAGTGCATTTTGTGGGATTGCTAGCCCATTTTGGAGTCATTGCCCTATGAGATATTTTTTTCTTCTTTTATATACACTTTTTATGAATATATATTCAAAAGACATCACAGGAATAGTGCTGCCCAAGAGTTTGGTGATATGCCTTTACATTTTCATACATTTTGTAAGTGCATTTGTGGTAGTGCTTATTTTTTTATTCAGATATACTACCCTATAATATGTCTAGTTTTTTGTTAATGTTTTTAATATCTCCCATGTTTTGATGGTCGTTTATTCTTTGCTTTAAATATTTTATTTATATTTTCCCCATTATATATTTTTTTCTCTTTGGTACTTGGTGATTTCCCCTTATTTCAATCGTAATAATAAAAAAAAAAAAAAAAGAGTTAATTGCAAAGAAAAGAAAAAAAATATATATACAAAAAAACGATACTACTGCTGATCTATTTACATACTATTGATCTTTAGTGGTTTTACTGTACCAATGTTCCATTATCGGCAGATAAGCAATGCTCACAGAACAAATATTTAATGATTTTGAAAGCACTTTTATTCATAGGCTCTGCCCATTGTGTTCTATACATGACCTTTCCTGACTCTTCTGGTAAGTAAAGACTAGATGTGTCCCGTACCCTTCTCAGAAGACAAGCCAAGATCATTTACTGCAATTGAGGCATTAGTATGCCTTTTCTTACAATGTTTGATTTGGCTTTCTGTGAGCTAGTTAAATAGAATGGCTACATCACATTGCCTTAAAGCACTCTGATAATCAGAAGGTGTGCCTGTGCCCTTTTGTCCCTCGACAAACAAAATCGTACGTGCATCGTAGCCTTTCTTGTTCTAACATACTAATGGTGAAGACAAGATGGACTTAATTAACGAAGAAAGCACAGAATACACACAACTTGAGAACGATATTAGTGGGTTAGGCAGATAGAACTAAAATAGTCCTGGACTTTCCTGCTTGCTACAAGAGTAAAGAAAAACAACCAGATGATGACATACAGGGCTATTCACTAAGGTATGACTTGTAGGGAATTCAAAGTGAATTTCACATTTTATTCCAAAATATCAAAATAGAAACCATAGCTGGGGTTTAGCAACAGGTCACATTTTAGTAAATAACCCATGGATGTTCTTCTGGAAGATGTCCACTTAGAGGTCTGTTTACTGATCTCCAAAGAGCACCGAATTGAAATCCAAATGGAAAAATTCAGGTTAAAAACGGCCAAATCGTGACTACAGCAAAGTTGGAGAGATTTTCCAAAATGTCTATTTTGACCTAAATTTTACCATTTAGGTTTCAATTTACTACTTTAGTAGGATACTTTACTGAATAAACCAAACCCCCAATTCTGACGTCACACCAGTCTATAAATGAGCAAAGTAAGAAAAAAAAAACGCTCAAGTACAAAATTGTTAAATAAACACATGCTTAATTCCATTAATAGATTAATGACTTACTGTTTGTGAACTCGAGACACTTTGCACCAAAATCCTCTTCTTTGTAGTTGAACCCAGCAGCAGCTCCTAGATGTTTAGCAATTTCAAGCTTTTCCTTAGAACCTGCAGTTACAATAGGGATTGCTCCTGCCAATCGGCACAACTGGATGGCCGCTGTGCCAACACCACTAGCTCCAGCATGTATCAAGACAATCTCCCCCTTTTGAACCTTACCTTTAAAATGATAAAAACATATACCAATACCTTTTAATTAGATCTTGCAGGCAGAGTTTGATGTCAAATTAAAACTTAAAGGGGCAGTCTAACCACCATAAACACAACATGTCACAGTACTGGTTATGCGGTCAATAGGCTACAAGAGCGATACCATCATCCCATGATTCTGGGTGAGATTCGAACCTTTAATCAAGTGATATAGACAAAAGTAGAGGTTCCTGGGTCTGTTGCATCATAGCCCCTTCTCCCTGTGACGCTTTGATATTTGGAATATCAGGTTTGTCCATGTGTGAATTGCAAAGATAGACAGAACATCTGCATTAGCAATCACACGACTGGGTGGGATTATATTTGTATTTCTTTAAAAAATAAAATTAATTAAAATGGCATGCATCTTTTTACCACTAAATCATTTTTTTGGCTAGGTTGTATGTGTCAGCTCATTTCTTTTAACAGGTTTTACTTGTCTGAATCCCTCCTGATTTGGACTCACCCAGTTGGCATACGTTTTGAATGTTGTTCATGTTACACCTTGGGTAAATAAATCTTTGCACATTTTTTACTTTTCAATATTATCAGTAGTTAATGGTAAATGGAGACTCCAGGACATAATAGAATATAGGTATACTGGTCTGAACAAGTATTTCCAAGAGTGATCAACTCAAGCATGGAAATACGAGCACGACACATTCCCATAATCCGCACTAAAACAGAAATCATTCTCACCTACAAAATGTAGCAGCTGAAACGCAGTGAGCCAGGCTTCCGGAATGGCGGCCGCATCTGTTGCAGTCATACCCAAAGGAATAGGCATGAGATGGTCTGCAGATACAGCGGTGTACTGTGCATTACCTCCACCAGGAAGCAAAGCCATGACTCGGTCACCAATATTCCATCTCCCACAGCCATCAGGACCAAATCCCACCACAGTGCCGGCTGCTTCCAGACCAAGAATGTCACTGGCTCCCGGTGGTGGCGAATATTTTCCCCTTCTCTGCAACATAAGTACATACATTTTTTTCCCTGTGGCTGGAGTGCATCTATTTCACAAGATTTTAGGATATGATGGCAGGAAAATGTATGGACATTGGGGGTTATTAGCGTAACCAGGGATTGCACAGAATTGACATGATAATAGAGGTCTCTGATAAAGTGGCTCTGAGGCAATAAATGTGCTAACGTTTTGTGTGTAAGGTCTATACTGCTGTATCCCAGCCTGATGTTGCAAATTTTAATGATCATTTAGTAAACACTTTAGAAAGTGTTTTTTTAAATATGTTCTTAACCAGTGCAACTACAAGAAACGTATGACCTCTGTGATTGCCAACAAGGTTTTTGCCACCAAGTACTAAGTCGAAGGGGTCAAATACTTATGTTACTCATTGACATGCAAATCAATTGATAACTTTTTGTACATGCGTTTTTCTGGATAATTTTTGTTGTTGTTATTCTGTCTCTCACTGTTAAAATACACCTACCATTAGAATTATAGACTGATCATTTCTTTGTCAGTGGGCAAACGTTCAAAATCAGCAGGGAATCAAATACGTTTTCCCTCACTGTATGTATTTTGTCAGTGTGTGTTTGTATGGATAGGTCAGTGTGTGTTTCTGTTGGTAAATCTGTGTGGATATGGGTCAGTCTGTGTGCGTGTCCATCGGTCAATCTGTGTGGGTGTGTATGGATCAGTCTGTATACCCCACACACAGTACACTCCCACGCTCAGCACCCACACACTCTACAACAAATGTATACATATACACACTCACACACTACAGCTGCTTGATACACACATAAAGCAACCTAAAAATGCATACACTGACACACTGCAGCCCCTAGATACACACGCACCCACTCTAAAGGCCCTATAAACACACACTATAGCACCCTGTCAACATATGCACAATCTCTATGGCCCCTATACACATGTATGCGAACACACTACAGCCTCTATACACACACTACAGCCCCTATACACACGTACGCGCGCGCATACACACTACAGCCCTAGCTCCACATAGTACACAAAAACAGACCCCTTTACACACACAGCCCCTTCCAGACACACGTGGTGTCTCACTTATGGGGAAATCAGAGACAAGACACCAGCAAACACAGTGCAAGCATTTCATTAACCCCTTAACGCCGTTCTATGCCACCGCGATCCTCTTCTGGGGGGCTACCTGACAGCCCAGGCAGCCCTCCTCCGGTAAATGAGGCCCCCGATGGCCCCCTATAGCTGGCTGTGGATCTGCCAGCAGGGGGCTGTCAGAAATGTCAGACAGTCCCCCTGCTGGTGGGAAAGTTAAAAAAAAATTAAACATGTTATAAAATAAATTACAAGTAATATTAAAATACACTTAGAACGATGTTACATATATATATATATACACACACACACACACACACACACGTATAATTACAATAATAAATAAAATAATAAAATAAATGAATAAAATATTGAAACAAAATTTAATATAAATTATATATTCATATGAAATTTCATTCTAACTGTATTTTGTTATTTATATATATATATATATATATATATATATATATAATAAAATACACTTAGAAAGACATTCTATATATATCTATCTATATAAAAAAAATACAAATAACTGCAAATATATATATATATATAGATAAATACATATAATTACATAAAAGATTACATTAGTATACACATAGAATTTAAATACCTATAAATGCAAAGTAAAGTTCTACGTGTATATTTAAGTAATCTTTTAACATAATTATGTGATTTGATTAATTAAAATTTGATTGACATGCCTGACAACACAGGGAGAAAGTGCAGAGAATTTTTATTTTTTTTAATTTTTAATTTTTTAAATTCTTTATTTATGTTGACAGAGGTAACATGCATATATATCGATCACATTCTGTAACTCAAACAAAGATGGACATACACATTGTATACAGAGTGTAGTAACCTATCTATCGCATACCCACGCGGCAGATGGTGGTCTAACATTCTCCACCATTGCCCCCTAAAGCGACGTATTAGCTACCTTAATGCTTTCTGATATTGCGAGTTACAATTTGTCAACTTTAGTGATTGGTAACAGGAGAAGAAAAGGAAAATAAAAAGAATGAAAAAACAAGAAATATTTGGTAGCATATGAAACTTGGCTGTACATAAATAACGTCGGTGTGTGCCCTCCAACTGCCGGGAGCCCTCTGATCTAATATTATGTTGTGTAATGGGTTTCTCTATGTCTCAGAGTTAGATAGATAACCTGCAGCGTGTTTCCCACCCCCTGGTCTTTAAAGGGCTCCGTGGGTCCCCATCGCGGGAATCATTACGGTCTCTACATGTTGTCGGCCATCTGAAGGCTTTGGTTTACGTTCCTCTGTTCACACCTGGTCTTTAAACAATTTCCAGGTATACCTCTCCCTACATCCTCTGGGAGGTATATGCTACACATAATAAGAGACGAATAGAAGTAAGAAAAAGGAAGGTAGGTGTCGAAAAAAGATAATAAGGTAGGGGTGGGGCGGGGAGGGCAGGAGCCGAGGAACCGCTTCCCTTCGTTTTAACTATCTTGTGGGCCTTAGCCCCTTGAGTTAGGGGCACCCAGTAGACCTATCTTCCCATGGTGCCCATATTTTCTGGAATTGTTTTTGAGTTCCCCTAACTCTTGCCGTCAGGTCATCCATCATATATACTTCCCTTATTCTATTGATGACCCCCGTAAGAGGTGGAGTGGTCTGTTTAAGCCAGTCCGCTGCCACTGCTCTCCTGGCTGCTAGTTACTTTATGGATGAGTTTTTGTTCGTGTCTAGTCCATCCATCTATTGTTCTACTGAGTAAGTATAACCACGGGTCTAGGGGGGGGGCTCTGTTCAGCACCTGGTATATCTCTAATTTGTTGCCAGAATCTTTTCATCAGGGGGTATTCCCACCACATGTGGAGATATGTCCCTTTCATTCCGCACCCTCTCCAACAAAAGTCGGTAGAGCACTTTTTCCATTTGATACAGCTTTACAGGGGTTGTATACCAGCGAAGCATCGTCTTACCTGCTTGCTCCTGTATCGTTACGCATACTGAGGATTTGTGATTGGCTTCCCAGATCTCTTGCCACTCTATCCCTTCTAATTGCTCCCCCAAGTCCCTCTCCCATTGTTCCGTGTAGGCTAGATTTCCCCCTTCGTTAGTTACAGAGCAGAGGTGGTTGTACAGCCGAGTTATCAGACCCATAGGCATATGGTCCTGAAGGCATATTTGTTCGAAGAACGTCATGGGTTTTTGGGCCGCCGCCCGGACCCATGGGAGTTTTACGAAATCTTTTATTTGTAAGTACCTGAAGAAGTCTGCAGGCGTGAGGTGACCCCTTTGTTGTAGGGTGTCGAAAGTTACTACCTCTGAATTCTGTACCAACTGATGCATGCGTTGCAGACCTATTCTTTCTAGATTCCTAAAATTTCGTGCTGCCATTCCCGGCGGGAATGCTCTATTTCGAAGAAACGGCATCAGAGGGGATGGGGCTGATGCAAGCCCATGTCGCTGTTGAGCTCTATCCCAGATATGTATAGAGTTCAATATAGCTGGGCATGTAGCTCTAATGATTGGTCTTTTATCATTGGGGACCCAGATGAGTAGCTGCAGAATGTCTGCCCCCACCATCAGAGATTCCAAGTCCACCCATTTCCGTTCTCCAGGTGGCGAGTGCCATAAGGCTATTTGCGACAATTGTGTCGCCATGTAGTAGCCGTATAGGTTAGGCAGTCCGAGGCCTCCCCTATTTTTTGGCCTGTGTAATATATGTCTCGAAATTCTATGGCGTTTGTTTTGCCACACAAAGTTCCCTATCGCCTGTTGCAGTGGTGCTAGGTGTGTCTTGGATAGATGTATGGGCAGAGATTGGAAATAGAATAATATCCTGGGTAGGATGTTCATTTTGACCGCATGAATTCTCCCTATCCAAGAGATAGGCCTATCGTTCCAGGTCTCTAGTTCCCTGATGAGTTGTTTTATGAGTGGAGTATAATTCTGATGTAGGAGTTGGTCTGGGTCTGCTGTCAGTTTAATACCTAGATATTTAAATCGACTGTCGCTCTACACATATGTGGTGTGCCCTTTGAAGAGCTGTCAACTCTACATCTGGAATCTCGATTGGAAGGGCACTAGATTTGGTCATGTTAGCTTTGTACCCCGACACAGCTCCATAGGCCTCCAGAACTCCTTGCAAGGTCCTCAGTGAGTTGAGGGGGTCAGTGAGCGTCAAGAGCACATCATCCGCATACGCCGACACCAGGAACTCCCTGCCTCCCACTCGAACCCCCTGTATGTCCGGGTGTCGTCTAAGGGCTTGGAGTAGAGACTCCAGGGAAAGCAGGGGACAAAGGTCATCCCTGTCTGGTGCCATTGTATAGTCTGAACGGATTTAGTGGGGCTCCCGAGATTTTCACTTGTGCTCACACATTGCTATACATGGCTTTAATCAAAGTCATAGCTTGCTCGGGGAATCCCATGTGGGACAGAAGTGTGAACAAGTACGTCCATGTGACCCTGTCGAATGCTTTTGCAGCGTCCAATGAGACCAGCATAGTTTGGGTGTGTGTAACCTTCTGCTTCCAAATGATATCTATGTTCCTACGGGTATTCTCAAACAGCTGTCTGCCCTGCACAAATCCCACTTGATCTGCATCTACCAATGTAGATAAATAAGGGTTCAGTCTTGTCGCCTGAATTTTCGCTAAGATTTTCATATCAAGATTGATTAGGGAGATTGGTCTATAACTACTCAGGATGCTCGGGTCCTTGTCTGGCTTTGGCAATAAGACAATGGTTGCTAACGACATATCCTGATCTGGGGTGCCTCCTGATCTAAATTCGTTAAATAGTGCTGCTAAGTGGGGAGCAAGCTCGTCCCGAAATTCCTTATAATAGCTCCCGTCAAACCCATCCGGTCCAGGGGCTTTATTCCCTTTCAGGGCAGCTATGGCCTGTGCCACCTCTTCTGTTGTTATTTCTGTCGCTAGTGCTTCCACTCCTGCCTGTGCTAGCTTCCACGCCGTCCGCATCTCAGATCCCGGTGGTGCAGAGAATTTAATTCGCAAGCACTATATTTGACCCTGTAACGCTCCAAGACACCATAAAACCTGTACATACGGGGTACTGTTTTACTCAGGATACTTCGCTGAACTCAAATATTAGTGTTTAAAACTGGTAAATTGTATTACAACGATGATATTTTAAGTAAAAGTGACCTTTTTTACAAACAAACGGCACTTTTATGGACTATATTATTGTTTTAAAAAACACTAATATTTGTGTTTAGTGAAGTCTCCCGAGAATAACAGTGCCCCCCATGTACAGGTTTTATGGTGTTTTGGAAAGTTAGAGAGTCACATATAAGGCTTGCATTTCATTTTTTTGACATTGAAATTTCCCAGATTTGTTATGTTGCTTTTGAGACCGTATGGTAGCCCAGGAATAAGAATTACCCCCATGATGGCATACCATTTGCAAAAGTAGACAACCCAAGGTATTGCAAATGGGGTATGTCCAGTCATTTTTAGTAGCCACTTAGTCACAAACACTGGCCAAATATTAGTTTTTTGCTTTTTTCACACAAAAACAAATATGAACGTTAACTTTGGCCAGTGTTTGTGACTAAGTGGCTACTAAAAAAGACTGGACATACCCCATTTGCAATACCTTGGGTTGTCTACTTTTTCAAATGGTATGCCATTATGGGGGTAATTCTCATTCCTGGGCTACCACACCGTCTCAAAGGTAACATTACTAATCTGGCATATTTCAATTTGAAAATGGAACGTTCTATAATTGACCCTGTAACTTTCCAAAACACCATAAAACCTGTGGGGGGTACTGTTGTACTCATGAGACCAGTGGTGTATCCTGGTTTTGTGCTGCCCTAGGCAGGACAAAACTCAGGAACCCCCCCCCGCCACCCCCACCCGCGCAACCGCCACCCAACCTTCCCCCCTGCTCCGCCTTCTAAATACACACACACACATTCACTGACAGATATGCATTCACTAGCTAACAGAAACACACACTCACTAACAGACACACACACTCACAGGCAAACACACACACACACTAACAGGCAAACACACACACTAACAGACATCCACACTAAGACATCCACACTAACAGACACACACACACACACACTAACACTAACATACATACACTAACATTAACATACACACTAACAGACACACACACTAACACTAACATACACACACACACTAACATACACACACACACTAACATACACACACTAACAGACATCCACACACTAACACTAACATACATACACACACTAACACACACACACACACACTAACATACACACACTAACACTAACACACACACTAACATACATACACACACTAACATACACACTAACAGACATATACACACACTCACTAGTGTTTTTTTTATTTTATTTATTTAACCCCCCCCCCAGCCTCCTTACCTTTGGTAATGCTGGGGGGGGGTTCTTCCTCTCCCTGGGGTCCAGTGGCTGCAGGGCGGGCGGGCGGCCGCCGAGGGAGCTCTTCCCCTGAGCGCTCTGCTCAGCTCCCTCGCGCGCCGCCAGCAGAGTGAGGCTGGGAGCCGGAATATGACGTCATCAACCCGGCTCCCAGCCTCCCTCGCCGGCCGCCCGCCCGCCCAGCGCTGCAGCCACTGCCGCCCAGCGCCCAGAATGTCTGTTAGCCGCGAGGCTAACAAGACATTTGCCTTGGGCATTTGGGGGGCGTCGTTTTTTTGCCGCCCCCTGAAAAATGCCGCCCAAGGCAAATGCCTTGTTTGCCTCACGGCTAATACGCCCCTGCATCAGACATCACTGATTACAAATATGTGCATTTGTTTGCAGTAAAACCTAACAGTATTATGACATTTACAGCTAAAATGTGAGGCGGAAGTACAAATTTTGTTAAAAAAAAATACAATTTCTCACAGTTTTTTTAAATTTTATTCATAATAAATTATGTTTCATATATAAATATTTGATATGAAATGAAAGCCCTGTTTCTCCTGAACAAAATGAGATATAATAAGTGTGGGTGCATTTAATATGAAAGAGGTGAATAACGGTTGAACAGACATATAGCGCAAATTCCAGTTTTTGTTTACGTTTTGTTTTGATCAGAACGTGTACTATTGACTCCATCCTAAAGGGGTTAAATGCAAAACAAACAGTGCAACTACAAGAAACATATGACTTCTGTGATTGCCAACAAGGGTTTTGCCAACAAGTACTAAGTTGAAGGGGTCAAATACTTATGTTACTCATTGACATGCAAATCAATTGATAACTTTTTTGACATGCGTTTTTCTGGATTTTTTTGTTGTTGTTATTCTGTCTCTCACTGTTAAAATACACCTACCATTAGAATTATAGACTGGTCATTTCTTTGTCAGTGGACAAACGTTCAAAATCAGCAGGGGATCAAATACGTTTTCTCTCACTGTATGTATTTTGTCAGTGTGTGTTTGTATGGATAGGTCAGTGTGTGTTTCGGTAAATCTGTGTGGATATGGGTCAGTCTGTGTGCGTGTCCATCGGTCAATCTGTGTGGGTGCATATGGATCAGTCTGTCTGTATGGGTAAGTCTGTATACCCCGCACACAGTACACTCCCACGCTCAGCACCCACATACTCTACAACAAATGTATACATACGCACACACACACACACACACTACAGCTGCTTGATACACACATAAAGCAACCTAAAAATGCACACACTGACATACTGCAGCCCCTAGATACACACGCACCCTCCCACTCTAAAGGCCCTATAAACACACACACTACAGCACCCTGTCAACATATGCACAATCTCTATGGCCCCTATACACACATACGTGCACACACTACAGTCCCTATACACACGTACGCGCGCACACACTACAGTCCCTATACACACGTACGCACGCATGCAGGCGCGCGCACACACACACACACACACTACAGCCCTAGCTCCACATAGTACACAAAAACAGACCCCTTTACACACACAGCCCCTTCCAGACACACGTATCTCACTTATGGGGAAATCAGAGACAAGACACCAGCAAACACAGTGCAAGCATTTCATTAAATGCAAAACAAGCACAGGGTGTTTCTCCCATCTTAGGAGTGGTGGAAATCTTGGATGACACCTGCTGCAGTTACCCCAATGGCTAGGATCATAATTTAGCCCAGCTGTGTTACATGAGTAAATACGATTAGATACTGAACCTGAAGTAAGTCTGCACGATTTAGGGCACTGGCCTCCACTTTTACCAGCACTTCTCCTTTCTTTGGATTTGGTTTTGCCACTTCTTTGATGAACAGATTTTCTGGCCCTCCAGGCACGTCGAAGTACGCTGCCAGCATTTTTCCTGCAGAAGTATAGGATTTTTTATATTTGTACATTTGTAAATGCATGCTTTTTGGGTTTTGTTTGTTAAGTGAGGAAATGCACAGGCTTAGAAATGCCTATCTAGAAAATAACATTTCAATGTGTATTACACTTCAGAGGAAGTTCTGGCCAGGAAGGGCGAAGGAGGATTGCAAGTGGGTTTTTTTCCCCTTCTTATTTTCAGTTATCAGCCCAAATACAGAAGAGTTGCACATTAACTCATTCATTTCTGGCCTGCCAATTCTGCCGCTGCTCAAATCTCTCTACTGAAGTACTGTGCCAATCGACAGAATAATGGTGGTGTAAAATTAAAGCCCAAACACCTGTATGACTGTGGCCAGGTGAGATGGGGTGTGGGCCCCCAAATTACTGTAATATCACATCACATCAAATAATATGATATTATAAACACTCTATATTTTTATTTGTGCCAACCTTTTGAACATGCCACACCTGATCCAATGATTAGCAGCACCAGTGCCAATGAATACATCTTTTAGCATTAAGTCAGGGTAAGAGGCCAGCAGACACAGCTTTGTGTGTCAAATGGCAGTGATACTTAGGGCTGGATGAGCATGATGAGCACTGCAGTTCAGAAACATCTGGAGGGCCAAAATCAGCTATTACAGCAGGCACAGAAACTAAATCACATCATTTCACACACTGATTACTAAATAGCAGGGTCACTCAGTGCCACCAAATCTGGAATACAGTGGATACCTAGTGACACTAAGTAGCAACTCACTAGTTGAAAAGTTAATATACACACTTACCTTCCATGCTGAATCCTGTCACTGGGATGGGGAGGAGTTCACAGGATTCCACTAAACAGCAGATTGTACCATTCTCTAACCATTACATATCAAGTACCTTCCTACCTTGCTGTCTATAGCCCAGCCTGCAAATGCCATTCAATAAGTACAATACCAATGTAATGTTGCTGCACTGTATCTCACTTCTTAATCCATTAAAATGAGGCAGAGAGTGTGCTGCACCCCCCTGCCAGTGTAAAATGGTTTGCTCCGGTTTTGTATCAGCTGGGTTCTGTAGACATGCCCACATCTTGAATGAAATGCTAATAAATACATTGAAGGGTTAATAGGAAGTAGAGAAAAGCTGTGGACTTGAACCATACATCCCCAGTGTCCCTATTTTGGGCCCATATCCCTCTGTCCTTCTTTAACCCCTTAAGGACTGAGCCAAATGTGCACGTTGTGATCAAAACAAAACGTAAACAAAACTTGGAATTTGACTAAATGTCTGTTCAGGTGTAATTCACCTCTTTCATTTTATGTGCACCCACCCTTATTATATATCATTTTATTCAGGGGAAACAGGGCTTTCATTTAACATCAAATATGTAGGTATGAAACATAATTTAGTATGAATAAAATAGAAAAAAAATGGGAGAAAATAAGAAATGTTATTTTCTTAGTTCTACGTGACATTTTAACTGTGAATGCCATAATACTGTTAGCTTTTACTGCAATAAAATACACATATTTCTATTCAGCAATGTCTCAACTGTAAAACAGTACCCACTATGTACAGGTTTTATGGTGTTTTGGGAAGTTACAGGGTCAAATATAGCATGTTACATTTTTCAATTTTTTCACATTGAAATTCGCCAGATTGGTTACATGATATATATATTGGTTACAGACCGTATGGTAGCCCAGGAATGAGAATTACCCCCATGATGGCTTACAATTGGCAAAAGTAGACAACCCAAGGTATTGCAAATGGGTTATGTCCAGTCTTTTTAGTAGCCACTTGGTCACAAACACTGGCCAAAGTTAGTGATAATATTTGTTTGTTTGTGAAAAATGCAAAAAACTAATTTGAACGCCAATTTTGGCCAGTGTTTGTGACTAAGTGGCTTCTAAAAAGGCCTATCCTTACCTTTTTGTGTCATTTTACCTCATTCCCTCTAGCATGTAAGCTCTTTGAGCAGGGCCCTCAACCCCTCTATTCCTGTGTGTCCAACTTGTCTGGTTACAACTACATGTCTGTTCGTCCACCCATTGTAAAGCGCTGCGGAATTTGACGGCGCTCTATAAATATCATAATAATAATAATAATAGTAATAATGGTCTCAAAGGCAACGTAACCAATCTGGCGAATTTCAATGTGAAAAAACTGAAACGCAAGCCTTATATTTGACTCTGTAACTTTTGAAAACACCATAAAACCTGTACATGAGGGGTACCATTATACTCAGGAGACTTTGCTGAACACAAATATTAGTGTTTCAAAACAGTAAAACATATCACAACAATTATATCATCAGTGTAATTGCCATTTGTGTGTGAAAAATGCAAAAAATTAACTTTCACTGACAATATCATCGTTGTAATACATTTTACTGTTTTGAAACACTAATATTTGTGCTCAGCAAAGTCTTCCGAGTAAAACAGTACCCCCCATGTACAGGTTTTATAGTTTCTTGGAAAGTTACAGGGTTAAATATAGTGCTAGCACATTAAATTCCCTGGACTTTCGGCCTGGGTTGTCAGGCAGGTCCCGCATATTGTAATTAATAAAATGACCTAATTATGTAAAAATATTACATAAATATATACGTAGAATTATTATATATATATATATATATATAAATATATATAATGTTTTTTAATTATTTTTATATATAGGTATATATATAGTGATGTATATAGATATATATTATTTTGTTCTACGTGTATTTTGATATCAATATATATATATTATCAAAATACAGTTAGAATGAAATTACACATATATTTTTTTTTATATTTTTATTTTTTAACGTATTTACATATTTATTTTATACCATATATAAATAAATAAATAAATATATATATATATATATATATAAAATTATAATTATATATATTTACTCAATACCATTCTACGTGTATTTTGATATTAATATATATATATAAAATTATATATATTAATATTAAAATACACTATGTGTATGTATGTGTAAGTGTATATATATACTTAGATCATATATATAATATATGTATATATATATGATCTAAGTATATATTATTTTATTTTAAACAGTTTTTAAACTTTTATTTAACTTTTTACAGGCAGCAGGGGGACTACATGTCATTACATGCACTCCCCTGCTGGCACTGTTGTGGATGGCTATTCTGTCCATGTGATCGTGAGGTTCTCGCAAGGACCTCACGATAACATAGCCCAGTAGGGCCGGAACGGAAGCAGGGGGTCTCCCTGGGATGCCAGGTAAGTCCCCCAACCGCGATCGCCAGCGAGTGGGTTAGGATGGCGGGGACGTGCTATGCCCCCCGCCGTTGTTTAGAGACGGGTCCCCAAGGACGGCATAGCACGCCCGCCATCCTTCAGTGGTTAATCCTAATACCCCTAATAGGGGCTCCCTGTTGTTGGTGTGTCTGATTGTATAACAGAACAGTAATAATACTCCCAGTATGTGTCTTTAAACTGCAATAAATGTGTTTAGAAATCAGGCTGTGTACATATGATACATTGTTCTTGTTCTAAATTACATTTTAGTTACATACATTGTTATTATAAAGTCACCTAAAATTTCTCAGAACCGCCCCTGACCACACCCCAGTCACACTCCTAAAATGAAAGTATCCCTCTTTGTCCATTTGAAATGTTGGTTATCAGTTTAGACTGTATTATTGCCAATTCGGGTCATGTGGGACTGGAATTTTTAGAAATTGTTTATGTGAATTGTGGCAGAGTTATGTTATATGTAATTATAGGGTTTATCTAGACAGATATGCGTTTGCTAAATAATAAACAGTGGTAAATGGATTGTTAAATTGCATAATTATACAAGCTGATGTTTCACTTTAAGTTTGACTATCACCATTTAAAAAAAGATGTGCAGTGACTATAAATGCCATACTGATGTTATACATGTTACAGATGCGCATGCTCTAGCTGTTGTGGCTATTCAAGCAAGATGTAAAGCTCGCACAATAAAAATAAAGATTTTTTTTTTTTTAATTGCATAATTATGTCCCAAATAGCTGTTCTGAAAAATTTTTTTGCAGATTAAAAAATAAATAAATAAATAAATAACTATAATGCACCGTCAAAGAATGCTGGGACAATTTAACATTTTAGAGCTAAATTGACTAACAGGAAAAATTCTTCATATCATCCATGTGTCCAGGTCAATTGAAATTCGCTTTCAATTCTTGACAATTCATATTAGGGTTAGTTCATCTCAAATGTAAATATTTAGCAGTTTTGTGCGATTTTGTTATTTACACATGTAGTTGTTATGGTACTAGCATATTTGTAGCCCTGGCTCCTGATTCTCTGGTTAATCATTTTTGCGTCATTTGACCCAAACCATTGAATGGCCCTTTGCTCAATATATATATATTACCTATGTCTATTTTGTTCAAAATTGGAACGCAGCCATTGATCATCTGAACTTAACGAAGAATAGTCATCCTTGGCAGTGAACAACAGTACAAGGCATGTCCTGGCATTCTAAAACATAAAGGTGACATAAGGGATAGTTCAGGAAGTCCAAAGACACTAAGCAGTTCTGTGACTGATTAATTAAAAGGGAGTTTTTCGATAGGTATGTGACATCAAACACTACGTTACTAGGCAACTACAAATAAAGATCTATAAATATGAACAATACAATGCAGTAATTCTAAAAGTACTGTACTTTTTATTATGTATGTATTTATTATTAACAAAAGCTCAAGTTAGACAGCAGTTGATTGAAGTTGGGATATGCAAGCAAAGATCAGGAGGTCAAAGATTAATTGAAAGGGAAATGGGACAAATAACGGAGAGCAGTTATACATTCTCAAAGTACTATATTCTTAAATTACTATCGTTTTTATTTTGTTTTTATGTCTTTGTAATGATTTATTCTGTATTTATTATTGACAAAAGCTCATGGTAAGCAGCAGTTGATAACGGATAGCAGTTATGTACATACTAAGCATAGTAAGGGTAAATAATACATTTTGGGTTTGATAGGAGAGGACTGGAGAGTGGTCTTGTTAGCTTGACAAAGGCCTCTTTGCAGGCCGAAACGTTGCTCTTTGTTCCAATAAATCTGCCATATCCTGAGTGCCTGGACCTGACTTTCTTCATATCTGCTAAATTTGGATTTGCCAACCCTGGTCCTGGACCGAGAGTGTGGGATCTTTCTGTGTATACTACTTGGAGAGTGGTCTTGGACAAGCCGAGGTCATGTTCTGAGCAACACTTGCTAGGTTATTTACTAATGTGTAAATGTAAAAAGAGTTCAAACTGAATTTCAAATATAAAGCCAGTGTGGGGGAGTATCACTGTGACAGATAGTAGGGGAACAGCCTGTAGAAGGGTTCTCCTGCTCTCACCTGTCACTGGGTCCTTAAGATATAGGTCTACTCCCAGAGCTGAATGACAGTATGGGGAGGCATTTTTTCTTTTACATATAAATATCTAAATACCTCCTTGGCTGACATAATCAGAATTGATGAGCTCAGCCAATCACAATGCTTTCCTATAGCAAAGCATTCTGATTGGCTGAGATTGATAATTCTGTTGATCGCAGCCAATGAAGCGGGCCGGGGACGGAGCCACACACCACCCTGGCCAATCAGCATCTTCTCATAGAGATGCATTGAATCAAGTTTAGCATCTCCATGCAGAGTTATGCAGCATTGACCCAGGAAGTACCTCTAGTGGCCTCTAGAAGTGTTACTAAGCAGCAATGTAAACACTGCCTTTTTTCTGAAAAGACAGTGTTTACAGCAAAAATTCTGCAGGAACTGACTATACTCACCAGAACAAATACACTGCGCTGTAGTTATTCTAATGGTGACTACAATGTCCCTTTAGTTTCTAAAAAAAAAAACTGACAGGTGTTCTTTAAGGAACTAACCATACCACATTCACATTCCTTTAGCATTTCAGTTTTCACAGTGAAACTGTAGATG